AAGGGATCCCCCTGATCCCCAAGCAGGGCAGGGTAACTTGCAGCACTGAGCTACCATGGCTCAACAGGACACAACATCTGCAACAGAGCATGTGCACAGTCAGGGCCACAGGCCCAGAATGTGCTTCTCTGCCTGCAGTTGCCATTTAACAGGGACAGTTTTAAAATGCTTTTGGTTTGCTTTCCAAAAATCCCCCTGTGGTTTCTACTTGAGGGTTACACAGTAAGAGCAAATTCAGGGAGAAAAAGAAGTATTTTGGGGATACCCAGTTCTGAAAGCAGCTAGAATCAGGTGCAAAACAGCATGTCACAGCAAATCACTTCCCCGAGGAAACTCTGGGAAATACAATTATTACATTCACCACCATAAGGCTTATGGTAACCACATTTCAAACAGGTCAAAGTTGCTTGCTCCTTCAGAACTGTTTTAAACAACAGAAACAGGAAAGGTTAGGCTGAATATTCATTTCTCCTGCTATTAAACTCTACCTTATTCAAAATAAACAGCATAGACATTTGCAAGAGCAAACAGCGAAGCGTTCTTGAACACGTGTGATGAAAACGTATCGCTCACAGGATCCCACAGGCACCTGCTCCCGATCTGGATGCTCTGCTCATTCAGCTGCCCAATGTGTGTCACCACAACAATCTTGTACCTCGGTATCATAAGGTCTTTTACCCGTGCTTTAATAACCTGCAAGAGAAAAATAAGTTTAGACTCCAGTGAATACCATATTCTCCTGTGTACATACTCACAGTTACCTGATTACAGGGGAAAGGAAGGGCAGACAGTCCCCCTTCTTTAATGCCAGTGAGCAATTCTGGGCTGAATCAGCTGAGAGACTGGTGGGTCAGGGCAGTCTCCTCTCAGCAACAAGCCTGGATGTAACTGAGGAGCAGTCTGCACACCTATCACTGTTCAGAATTCAGTCACTACTATAACTATACTATTTTTAAGAGGCCTGATACATACTTAAACTTAGTTAAGATACTTCTGGACAGGGCAACCGCAACGTGGAGTTTCTACTGAACCATGTGCTTAGCCAGAGCCACTGCTGCTCAAACGAACCTCATCATTAACTCGTATAAACACGCACCTGCCTCAGAGCAACCTTTGGTGCCTCTTCATGGCTTCCTCCAGCATCACTTTCACACTTTATACTTAATGTGGGCCCCCCCCGCCCCGAGGGCCTCCTCCCTGACACCCCGTCGAGGCGTGAGGACAAAATGGCCGCAGCGGTACCTCAGCGATGTCCTTCACCATCTCCCTGCACCGCGCCGGCTCGTAGGGCTGCTCCCTCAGGCAGCTCCCCAGCACATCCCTCAGGATAGCATCCACCGCCGCCACCGGGAAGCGCTTGCGGGGACCTGGGGGGCAGGCGGGGAAGTTAAACTCGGTTTCCTGAGGGAAAACCCACCGCGCTGAAGGCAGAGGTCGCCGCGCCCCGACCCGAAGCGCCCGGCCCTG